CAGGTGAAGTGCAAATGGGGAATCTTTTCTGTTGTGTACAAGTTGGACAATCCACAGTGGCTATAAAAGAACGATTTGGGAGGTTTGAAGATGTACTTGAGCCAGGTTGCCATTGCATGCCGTGGATTCTTGGAAGTCAAGTTTCTGGCCATCTCTCTCTTAGGCTACAGCAACTGGATATCCGATGTGAGACCAAGACAAAGGTTTGTTATTCTCTGACTTCCGTTATAATTAGATCATCCCATGCCTATAAACGACCAACATCACATCCTTTTATTTATTGAAGAAAATAAAACAAAAAAAAAAATTGGATGAAATCCTTGAGCTCAATCTTTGAATTTCACCTCCACTGTCAAATTAGTGCTTATTACGATGCATGAATTTTTTTTAGTGATATACAGTTGATTGGTGTTTGTGGTCATTTGCTTTCAGGATAATGTATTTGTTAATGTTGTTGCTTCTGTCCAATACCGCGCTCTGGCTGACAAGGCCTTTGATGCATATTACAAACTAAGCAATACAAGGTCCCAAATCCAGGCCTATGTTTTTGATGGTATAAACCAGAACATTCCTTGATGTTGCAAATGCTAACTAAGCCAATTTGCTATTTATCAGCTGAGATGAAACTGCCTTTCTCATTGCAGTAATCAGAGCAAGTGTTCCAAAGCTAGATTTGGATGATGCTTTTGAGCAGAAAAATGAAATTGCAAAAGCTGTGGAGGAAGAACTTGAAAAGGTAAATTTTTATGATACTCATTAATATTGTGAACTTTGAAGTTGTTTGACTTGATTCTGATTTTTTATTTTTTCAACAGGCTATGTCAGCTTATGGCTATGAAATTGTTCAAACACTAATTGTTGATATAGAGCCAGATGAGCATGTCAAGCGGGCTATGAATGAAATCAATGCTGGTATATTATATGTGCATTATGTCACTCTTACATGTTATTTTCATTCATTCTCCACGGCCTATCAGGTCTTTATTACACGCATGAATTAATGAAAACCTATTGAAGACTCTCTCTCCAGTGTTAGATCCTCAATCTGATATGTTGCTTGATATTGTTGGTGTCTTATTGCCTTGTTTTAGCTGGCAGAATTGGTGAAATTTTTATTTTTTATTTTTTTGCTTTTGATCATCTCCTAATAATTTCTTTTTATCTCAGCTGCGAGATTGAGGGTGGCAGCTAATGAGAAGGCAGAGGCAGAGAAGATTGTGCAAATTAAGCGAGCTGAGGGTGAGGCAGAGTCCAAGTATCTCTCTGGACTGGGTATTGCTAGGCAACGTCAAGCAATTGTGGATGGCTTAAGAGACAGTGTGCTTGGATTCTCAGTAAATGTACCTGGAACCACTGCTAAAGATGTGATGGACATGGTGCTTGTGACTCAGTATTTTGATACCATGAAAGAAATTGGTGCTGCCTCCAAGTCTTCTGCTGTGTTCATTCCCCATGGACCTGGTGCTGTTCGCGATGTTGCCACTCAAATTCGGGATGGACTTCTTCAGGCTTCTCATCAGTAGCTTCTGTGTCACCAAGCTCTTTTGTCTGGTTTGTACAGCAATATGGATGATATTGTATTGACCATTAGCGTGGTGGGTATCTGTGAACTATGCTTTCTGATCTTGTTATGTGGCAGCATTAAGTGTTACTGTAGATATGAGTTCTCTAGATTTGTAGACCATGCCCCTTTTAAATATTCTGCTTGGGATACTCAAACTATCAATTCCCCCTACAGATTACTTGTTTTCTATGGTGTAAAAGGCGCTTTCAAGGAAATTTCTTTTGTTTTGTTTACCTCTGGATGTTACATCATGCTAAATCATGTTACATGGCTCACAGTTGCCAGCATGGTAAATGATAGGATGAGAAATTGTTGCTGTTGTTTTCTGATGATTTCTGTTTGATGAAACTGATCTCAAAAATATTTGGTACTATCATTGTGTTTATTCATAAGAGTTGTCAAGAACTCTTTCCTAGGTCCTCAACCCTTCAGAGAAACACTCAGCATGGCATGTATGGCATCTCATACTGTTCTACAATATTGATTAAAATGGATAGTAATAAAAAATGATAACTTCCATCATGCGTGCAAGATAATATAATGGCTTTTCTCCTTGAGATTGACTAGGGTGCTAGAGCCAGGGAGAGTCCAATCTTAGGAAGTTTACTTGTGGCCCTAAAATCAATTTCTCCAGCCATGGATATACAAATTCTCTGCCAGAACTGTTGCTGAATTAGCGCACCCGCCTTGCCGTAAGTGTCAAGTCGAGCCTTCACCATTGTGCAAGGTAACAATGCGTGCTGAGCACCAATTGTCACACCAGTTTCATTCAGTGAGATCCTATGCTTCACCTCTGCTGCTATGGCTGTCTTAGTCAGAGGGTTCACTTCATGATAAAATGATGCTTTCACTGTGTCAAACCTGTCATGCCTGCATCAAACCAAACTTCAGAATCTCATGATAGTTTCACAAAGATCCAGCTAAAACTAATCATGCGCAGTTTAAGTGGACATTTTGAACTTGTGTGTGGGGCTATATGTTTTGAAGCTCACATGGTCATAGAAGCAACAAGGAACGCGGTGTTGAAGCTGAAACCAACATTCATTTTCCTGAATTCCCTTGTCGAGATGTCGTAAGCAAGTTTGGTCCCCAAAGATAGAATATCTGTTCCTATAAGACCAGAGAAGTTGACAACAGGGTCATATCCTCTTTCAAGGTTTCCTATTAATCCAATGCACCCAGTAATCCCAGTGTAGTTACTCAGGTATTGCAGTTCCACCTGTGATCATCAAAATTCAAATGAACTAAGAAATAAGGATGACCATGAAGATTGAGTCATCTTCAAAGATTATATCAACGAGTTTAAATTCTAAAGCAAATATGATATCTAGAACATAAGAAGAAAGCCTTTTAAGTTCAAAGGTAATTTTACATGAAAGTGCATAAATAATTTTTGACTAAAGTATACATTTAGTCTTTTAACTGTACTTTTAGTGTATTAATTTTATAAAGTGTCTTTTTAATTTTTTAACCCCAACACTGTTAGTTTTATCTCAATAAATTTTTACATTGAACTTTCAAATATTAACAAAACTTTTTCAGATATTGACATATTTAGTTTAATTTTTTTAAAATAATAATAATAAATATAAAAAATAGTTATTTGAAGGTAATGATATTAGGGTTAAAGGATTAAAAAGATACTTAACAAAATTAAATTTTTATATAAAGTTAGAGGACTAAAATTATACTTTAACCATAATTTTATTATATCTTGCAAGTTAGAAAAATTTTACCTTTCCGGAATCAGGTAGCGTAAAATTGAAAAGACTTCTTAGTCCAGGAACAATTTCTTCTACTGTTATAGTTGCAACAAAAAAGACACTATGGTCAGCTGTTAAAATTCCACGGCTATTATTTCCATTTTCAGGTATAATATTTAGGACCAAGGCTGTTATTTCTCATAACTTTTTTTTTTGCTAACAGATTTTTTTTCAAGCTATGAGGTAGGGAGCAAAAAAAAAAAAAAAAAGGAGCTGATATTTCAATTACCTTGACAGGAAAGATCTAGATTCCAGTCCATGAATTGGTAGTGAAAGTGAATTGGTGGCTGGTGAGCATAGTCCTTGTGAAGAACATCTTGAAATTACACGTGTTAGAATGTTAAAGACAATGAAACTTCAAGATCACTAACTATATCAGGTTCAGTGGAAAAAAAAATCAACAAGGCAAAGAATCTGAAAGAAAAGAAGATCATCCTCAAACCTTTGGCCCTTTTCCCAATATCAAAATATAAGCCCGGACACTTGCTCATTTCGCTAAGAACACTGCATAGAAATCAATATTCTATTCTGAGATGCGCCTGGTTTGATTTGGTAGGCTCGAGAATTTATTGGAAAATGATGGAAGGAAATGACGAAATTTCCTCTCGTGCAAACAGACATTTAATTGAACAGTGTCCAATCTCCAAACGAAATTTCCAACGAACCCGTTGGGGGTACTGTTTATGTGAGTCAAGACGGTAGCGCATAGAGAAAGAGTAAGACTTAAGCTAGGCGGTCTCAGTGCTGAAGTTGGTATAGTTAGCTTAGAGTAATTTGGCCTGTAAATCTCGGTCCTATGCAAATTATTGTTGACAATCATCCTTGCTTTGCTCTTAAGCTGATTTCAGAATTATGGTACACATTTGGAAGCATTTAATCTCCTATTCTTATCACTGTTTAACAAGTCTTTACAAATCAAAATTAACAAAACTAAGATCAAACCCTACAAACACATACCGAACACCAAGTCTTTCAATCTGAAGATGCATTACACATATTAGAAGGTACATTTGCGAACTCCAGAATTTTGCTACAAATTTTGCATCTCATGCTTCTTCACAACAACTTCTTCGTGTTCATGTTCATCTATTTCTTCAGTCTCCATATAGATTGCCATGGATTTGGATTTTGTTCCCTCTGGAAAGCGTAGACCTAGATAATTTAAGGGAAGTATAATTGCTGTGACACAATTTTCTCCCTAACAAGGCGATTAACTGAAAACTGACAATGGCGGAAGGTATAAAATTCTCTTCTCAGAAACGGAGCTTTAAGGAAACTTGACAATCTGCCAAGAACAGCGTCACAAGAAGGTACTATTTTTGGCTACATTTTGGAGCACTGGAAATCTTCACTCCCACGCGTTCTAGTCAACATGGATAATATTCTTTACCAATTTCTTTTTTAAAGCTCAGATGATATTCTCACACAGTCAATTTACTCTCATTTAAGAGTAAGTTACAAATAACTTTGTAGTTTGTTAAAAAAAAAAAAGATTTTTAAATTTCATTTAAGGTTACATATGCGTCTGTTATTGACTAAAATAGTTTTATTTAATTTAAATATATTTTTTTAATTAATATCAATAAATATAATATATGTTTATATTTTTAAGATAAATAAAGTATCATTTTGTATATATATGAAAAATTATGCTACGTTGTTACAGCCAAAAAGATCCATATAATATAATCTAATGATTACAATCGTGAAAGGAGCATACCCATAAGGCTATAATTTAAGCTGTATGCTATAAAAATAAAAAGTATACGGTTTCAAGTAAGGGAAGCAAATAAGTCGGTCGTCTGTACAATTGACTACGAAGAGTATTGCCCATCATATGGACAAGCCACTCCGTTTTGTGCCGCATTAGTTGAAAAGTCACAGCATATAATGAAACATACGAGCATCTTTTTTCCTGGAAGTGAGAATGGGTATAAATTTTTTTTATTCATATTTTTTTCCTGAAATTTGTAAGAATAAAATAGGAGGATTCTACTTTTTAATTACAAGATCATAATATTGTAGAGGAGAAATTAATAATTAAATTTCTGATCTGGTTTATGTATTTTTAGTCACAAAGTCATAATACGTACTATAGGCTTGCTGGTAGTTTTATAGAGAAGCCATTTTCTGGTTTGGATCCATGAATGGCCTCTGTACTGGTCTTGTATAGGTTGATTTATGTAATACAAATTAGGTTGACGACACAGAAAGAAAAAAGGGGGGGGGGGCTATGAAATTGTTTCATGGTTTTGAATTTCACCATAGACAATTTCTACTCTTGGCCACTGATCTGTGATTATCCTGCGTGTGATCATAAATTCATCAATGATTTGGCCATAATATGATCACTGAATGCCAATATGGGAGGAATGTATGAACGAAGATGAAGGGTCATTTCTGTTCATGGTGCACCAGAATATGGCTCTGCTAAACTGCGTCAATAATAAATTTAGTCAGATGTATGCCTAAAAGATGATGAGGCCTGAATATATGCTTGGCTTGAATTTGTGATGCAATTCAATGTAGTGGATTTACACCTTCATAGTCATCAATCCTAAATCATTAATTAATGGTCCTTAATCTTCTTTCTTTCTTTGCTTGCCCCTGTACATGTGCATGTGTGACCCGTTATCTAATTTGCATTCAAGAAAAAGAGTTCTCCATTTGAGCAAGCCAAACTTCCAAGTTGAGAGATGTCTTTCTCTACCCTGCCAGTGTGGGCAATATTGATATTACCAAAACAAAATCTAATTTAAGATGAAGCAAACATAATTACTGACCAGTCTAGCATCAACATGACCAATAGAGAAATGTGCTTTGCAATGCCTTGGATTTGTATATTTAACACGAGTGCGCTTCTATTTGGTCCATCCATGAGCATAGTACATGTAAAGGTCATAATAAAGAATTCAAGGTATTATTAAAATATTAGAACCGCAGTTCACCAATAGAACAAAACATCAAGATCACAAGCAGATTGAACTTAAAACAACCTATAAAAACAGTACAGAAGCTCCTAAAGCAAATTTTTTATGTCAAAAAGATATCCAAGAGGCATATACTTTCCCAAACATGATGACAAGAAATTCTCCACGCCATCAAAGAGCCAAGACCTTGTCTTTTATTTCAAGTCTTGAATGGTGATCGTCAAGCAATGTAGTTGATTACAGAAAAAAAAAAGAACACGATGACAACTAGCTTACTTTCCTTCAAAGTTTCATCCCCTACTTCAGTGTCCATACAATGTTATTATTGCAAAATGCCAAATATTTGCTTTGTTGTCTCACCCTTGCTCCCACCATCTATCCCAATATTTAAATTCTGATGTCTGAAAAATTGTCCCAAAAAGCAAATAAAACAAGAAAAAGAAAAAAGACCTACAATAGTGTGAATCAATCTACATCAATTGATCAGACAAGCTTGGCAGTCTCCTGAAAAAGTTCAAGGAAGCGGAAGGCATTGGGTCCCTAAACATGGGATGTCGCAGGTAGTAGAATCCTAAAGCCACAGCCACCATTTTTGGCGGCACCGCATACATTATCACTGTAATGGCCATGCACACTACAATGAATTGCTTTGTGGCCCTTGGATCCCTCCAACTCACCAAGGCTTGCAGCCTCTCTCCTTGTGCTGCAAAATGGCCTAACACTGTTTGGACCCGAGCAGCCAGCATGCGTAACCTGTCATATCGGACTCGAATTATATCAGGTGGCCTTGAACTAGGCATTGTGTCAAATTCCTCATCTAACTCATCCGGGTCAACAGTTTCAGCTTGTGACAATCGGGTATCCATTCCAGCTGGTATCTTAGGTCTGAACCGATAATACCATATGCCAATCAAAACCACGTATAAGAACCCAGTAGGGACAATCAAATCCGGATACCAAACAAGTACCAAATACAAAACATGGACCAGAACAGTCGTCATTGGGTTCCTCCACCTTTTGATATCGTCCAACCATTTCGCCAACCCGATGGCCCATGCCAGAACCGCCACGATCCGACACCAATTGACCTTGCTCTTCCTCATGCTCCAAGTGTGTGAGTCTGTGTCCAACATATACCGAACCACCTCATGCCCCAATGGTGGCTCAGCCTTAGAGAGCCACTGAGCCACCATCTTTGTGGCGGCTCCACGTAATGCTTCCTGTTGAACCAAACCAAGTGGACGAAGATAATGCATTCTAGGAAATAATGGCTGCCCATAAAGTGCACAAGTATCAGGCAATAAAGAAGGGCAGGCAAAACGAACTGCTAGTTCAATCTCACCAATTTTCTTCAACCCATATCTAGATAACACCAACAAAGGATATGAATTTGTATACACCTTATTACTCTCCAGAGTAGATACTCGGATTCGCACTTTCCCAATGCGACTATCAGGTTTATCTTCTGACGCATCCACAAACATTCGCCAATTGTCAAACACACCGATAGTCAAGACTGTACAAGGGTCATACACTTGCCATGTGTACTGCTCGTTCCAACGTGGATCAAAGCTGTCTATAATGGTTCGAGTGCGAACCCATTTCTTCCCATACTTGGCCACACAGTAAGCATCAGTGGATCCCTTTCCTCCTGGTCTGGGTTTCATGGGAATGAGATCGCGAGCCCCTAAGATGCCTAGTTCAAGAATTCCAATGGCCGGCTTCCATAGCTGCTTTGCCGTTGCTCGAAAGTCACTGCATATATGTGCCGCTTCATCCAGCACGTGATAGCCACCTTCTAAGCATAGTCTCAGGTGGACACGTCCACTGTAGGGGCCAACCCCTGTGAAACCTTCTAGGGGAAACCATTTTGATGTTACATGGCGCTCGTCGATTCGTTGCTCAATGGAGGTCAGTGGGATTACGATGTGTCCCAGTGTTACGGCTTCTTTGGTCGTACGATCTTCTACGAGCAAAATCATGGGATCTTCTTCCAAAGGCTCACCGGCCACAAAAAGCAGGTCTTCATTCCAATGGATGGATAGGCTATGGTTATTCATGCATCCTCGCCTTGTTCGTTGGCTTTGAAATCCTAATTGTACTTTTATTCGAATCTCCGGCGCCGTTAATGGGGGGAGATTTGGAGGGATGTTAAGGTCTTGAGCTTCAATGATGTTCACACGTAAGTACCAAAGCTTTGGTGACTGGTATACTTTAGAGCGTGTGTATGCCACGTCGGGAACGTCGGAGCTCCATGCCTCCGGGAATGCATCATCTGCTTGTGTACCAATCCAGACAGAAAGTTGAATATCACCAAAAACTTTACCTGAATTTTGTTCAATGGCACCACCTTCGAGGCGATACCATTGCGGGGCCAAGGGACTATCAGGAGGGTCTCGTACAGGCACGTCAGAGAGATCAAAGCAAACACCACCCAAAAATTGCTCGTTTGGAGAATCCCAAACCGAGATCTCTAGTGTCACGCTTGGTGTGTCAGCCTTGTGTCCGAGGGCGAAAACTTGGTTCCACTCTGGAGAGTCATTGGGCTCATTTGAACGGTATCGTGCAGGCTTTGATCGGAGCAAGGGGCCCGAAGACCCTCGAATCTTCACGTAGGGACTCTCATTTGGTGCCAACCCACGAGCCTTGACTATTCGGACAAATAGGTATTGCATCGGTTCCACCAACTCAAAGGGGTGAACCCTCTCAGAATCGACATTGGTGGACTTTTTGGATATCACTTTCGGAGAGTAATCCCCATAGGGCCTCTTCAAAATCGTAACTCTCTCCACTCCCGGTATTCCTCCTGATTGCATTCTTCGGGCCTCTGGAGGTGGTATTTCAGATATAGGTGGTGGCGGTCCTGCCATATCTGGCATTGGTTGGTCCGGCGGTACATGGACCACCGGCGGTGGTGATTCTTCAACAATCACAACGTGCGGTGAATGAGGGACTTCAGGCACGCAATGTTCCTGCGTGCCTGGAACCTCAAACACTCTTCCCTCCTCTACGACTGCTACGGCCGGAGATTTCGTCCTCTCATGCTCTGCAACTTGCTGCTGTGGCTCCTGCTCTTGCTGCTGAGGGGGACCTTCTTCCTCCATCATCTCATCATAGTAATAAATCTTAAGGCCTATTTCGCCCCTAATCCAACTAAAGACGCTCTTCTTCTCCAACGTATAGTACACCAGACCTTCATCCCCTCTCCTGGAGAATTGAGTACCGTTGAGCTTAACCCTGCCCAGGAAATGATTTTTCCGGCCACTCCCATTTCCGAACTTCTTGTCGTTGTAGACCTCAATCTCTAGCTCTTCGGATTCCATGTTATCGGGGTCAGATACAATGAACTCAAGATCCTCGTTCCAAACCGGGTTAAGCTCCCTGTACCTGGAACTGGTCCTTTTCCTCTGTCCATCAAAGTCAGCGACAACGTAAGGGCTAGAGCTTCCCTGGCCATCCTTTGGAAGGAGATTGCGTGCATCCACTACTTCGACGATCAGCTTTCTGGCAATCCTCGGAACATGCGGTGGTGGCTGAATCGGCATCGTCATGTTCTCATTTTGTTATCGGCATCGGGTTCTGCTTCCGGTAAGCATGAAAGTGCAGCCAATAACGGTGGCCGTCGAGAGAGCTAAGCAGAGAAAGAGAGAGAGTAAGAGTGAGAATCAGGTTGGTTTTGCTGATTGCTTTCTCTGTGTGCTTTATTATTTTATTTTTCTTTATTTTAATTTAATTTTGGATTCGTGCTCTTTCTTTATTCTTCCTTTTCCAGTTCTTTCATATATCAGTGGGGCTCGAATTGAAGTTTGGTAAAGAGGGTGACAGTGGGGAGATCAGATTCCTTGCTCTCTCGAGAAGGTTTTGCTTTCCTCTTTTACTTGATTCGCTATTCACCTCAGCTTCTCTTCCCATTTTTTTAAATAGTTTGTTTGCCTAGAGTTCAAACAACAGTCCAAGGAAAGGAACTGAGGTTAAACACACGACTGAGCCAACAAATATTACTGTCAGGAAAGAAGAGCGTGCCCCCGCACGAGCCTAATATAACCCTTGAAATTAGAGGTGAAAATTAGGGCGAGTTTCTTACTTTTAAAAGTTCAGTACAGGCTTAGGCTCTAAAGTATAATTACTTAAAATTTAATTTAATTTTGAGACTTGATTTTTATTTATAGGATTTAGGATCTGGCTCTTAAACCCTCTTTCTTGAAAAAATTTAACATTTTAATTTAAATAAAATATTTTTAAATTTAATATAAAATAAATTAAAGTCTCACATAAAATTTAATAAAAATTTAAAATTTAAGATGAAGATTAAAATCTTTATCAATATAAATCTAAACCTCCTCATCATCATCTAAAAATAAAATATTAAATCCCTTAAATATAGGTCCACTTGTTGAAGATGGAGTTGTAGATTTAATATTCATTATTTCTACAACTTCTTCTTCATCACTTATAATAAATATTAATCAAATTATGTCATTATTTATCAAATAGAGATATGTGTGTGTGCATACATATATAATATAACCCGGCTTATGGAGGCTTGAAGAGCCGCTTGGGCCTAAGTTTTTTTACACAGGGCTTATTAGGGTTAAGCTCTCAAATTCAATTACTTTAAAAAAAATTAATTTCTAACACTCTAATCCTTATTTAAACAGAGCCTTCAAGCCCAACCTTTTAAATTGACCCTTATTCTTAATTCTACATAATTATTAATCAATTGTTAATTATTTAATTATGATTATTTCGTTAAACTAAATTATAGTTTATATAATTCCACTCGTTTGGAACCCGTGAGAATGATTGATGAACTCTCTTGCATTGATCTTTACGACCAAAAAGTCCTGGTTTTTAATTTTCAATCAATTTTCCATGCCTTAATTAGCAAATACCCGTGCCTCTTCTGTTTCTTTATTTTATTTTATTTTATAATTATTCGATTTAAAAAAATGATAAGTTGCAGTATTCCACTGGTCTGAACCTTCAAGAATGCTGATCATGCGCTATCTTGGACTAATCTTTAGGGGCACAGAAGGCCTGATATTTACTTCTTAATCAATTTTTCAGGTCATTATAAGCATAATTGTTAACCTCTCAAGTTAAATCTTTAAATTTCATGTTTTTACTTTTTAAATTTATAAAATCATGTCAACTCATATGTAAACTCAAATTAGATATAAATTCAATTAAACTTATGAGTTTACTTTTAAGTTTATTATTTTTACATTTCTAACTTATAAAATTATGTCAATTAATTTATAAACTCGGACTAAATACAGGCTTGTTAAGCTTGTCAATTTTTTTTTTGAATTAAGCAAATTAAGTATATATTGTAAAAAATTTAATTTATAAAAGTTATAGGACTTGGTTCAAAAAAAAACTTGAAATACAAAAACTAATGTCAGTAAAAAGGAAAACAAAAATATCAAGAATAAGTTTCCCTATTTTAAATTTGTTATGTCTTGTGTATGATAATTCATCAATGTAGATAGGTTGCATTTCAATAATTTATATTTTTAATATATTTAAATTAAATTAGGTTATATTTTAGTGGCTATTTGTTAATAAAGAAAAACTCTTATGATGTTACAATTTAAATTTACGATATGAGTTTATATTCCTATCATGAGTTTAACAACCTTGATCATAAGATCATGAGTACATGTTCTTGTTCTCTTAATAAGATTTAATTAATGAACCCCTCATCTTATAGACATACTCTCTCTGTTTCTATTTGTAGAAGAAAAAAATTGTATCACACAATTTAAAAAATTGATTAACTATATTAATTATGTTTAAAAATAAAAAAAATTGACTACAACACCCTTTATTAATTGTGTTAATCAAACATTCAAATCTCATTAATTGTTTCCTATGGTTATGAATGATGAAATTATGAAGAATGGTTTAAAAAATTTGTAATAAATATCTATTAAAAATTATAATTTCATTTATATAAAAAATAAATTAAAAATAGCAGTTTCTTTTATAAATAAAAATGGAGAGAGTACACACCAATGATGTACACATCCTGACGAGCAGCTTGAACAATGCACAGCGGCCTAGGACGCTGCACCATACCACCACTATTTGTTGGTTTGAAGGTGAAGACTCCTTTTTTGTTAGACTGTACAGGTGAAGACTCTTTCTTGTGCTCATAGTCACAGATCTCACGTAAGATAAAAGATTAAGACAGAGGAAGGCACATGATTCCACGTCCCAACCATGGAGGCATCCTTTTTGTCAAAAGCACCCAATTTTGAATAAAGTTGGACGACAAAGCATCGCCTTTATCTCTTCTTTGGCTCTCTGATTCTCCCCTAGCTGTCCATTGCTTGTCACCATCTATATCTCAAACTATAAACCCTCCCTTTTTCATTTCAATCAACCATTGGTTACAAAAATTGTGTTTAACAAGCTCCTAGGGGCTCCATTCCACTCTATCCTAGCTGATCTTAGCAAGTTTGTCAACCTTGGGCCCTTTGTATTTTGCTCAACATGTAGCATTTTGGTTGTTTGGGGAGTTTTTAAACCACCTGGGAGCTATATAATTAATAATTAATGTTATTGGAAAAGGCAGGAATACATGTAAGAGGTGTTCAAGTTCTGCAAGCAAGGTTTTTGTGTTGAGATTAAAAGGGGAATTTTATTTTGTTCAGCTGCTGTGACTCACATGAAAACATTAGTTACTACTTTTTGGTTCAGATGCCCAAGAAACTTCTTTTATTCCGTATCAGTGCTATGCGTTTTTGTTGGCTTTTTTAATTTGGTGGGCTGTTTGTGGAATCTGATCCTGCAAGATAAAAGCAAATTTTGATACGATGCCTCAGCATATTTTGGATCAAGTTGAGGATGAGGTGAGTGAAGAATACAGTTGCTTAAAGAATCAAATGCAAAGGATGTGTTGAAAAACAAAAGGCAATTGAAGTTATTTTTTTAGGGTTTTCTCAAAGGGATTCCGAGTCGGCATAAAGTTGGATACGTAGACCTGAGCATTGAGAAACCAGGAACTTGAAATTTCTAAGAACATAACCCTCTTGTGATTGTTTTCCTCACATGCCTCTTGCTGTAAGTTTAATATCCATCTTTCTATTTTTCCCTTTATGACTTTTATTTTGGATTTGATTTGAAAAGTAAGAAATTGAATTTCTTATGTATTAATCATATTATTTTCTGAGAGGACAGTCAAACTTGTTGTGCAGAATATTGACGTGGGGGCAGGATCTTTCCCTATCTCACTCAGAATTATGACAAGGCAAAGGTTTTTGATAAACAAATCAAACCATGCTTGAATGTATTAAAGATCTGGGGAAAAAGGAAGGAATGATAAGGAATAGATATTATTGTTTGCAGAAATTATATGAAGCTTTATTCTATATGCCTACAATATCATGGGAAAAGCATAACCACGAGCAGATAGATTTAAATTTCTTATTTGTTCACACACACGCATAAATATATGTGAGGGATGTCATATAAAGGGAAGAAAATACATTTATGAATGCAGGTCAAGTAAATCCACTTATGGTGCTGTTGAGGATTGAAACTTGCGAGAAACTAACAACCCCAAGGAAAAGGCTAAAACTGCAGTGATAACAATTCCCTTGTTCTGTCTTAAAACTTTCACCGCACTTGTTAATATGGTAGGTTCTTTTTCCCACTTCCTTATCAACTCTTCAGAAAAACTCCCCACGTGGGTGACTTCTTTTCTTCTTATTTCCTCCTCTCTATGGAGGTCGTGTTGTGTGTTGTGACCTCTTTGTTGATTATGATCAGCACCGTGGTCCTCACGTTTGTAATTTTCTTCTGGGCTCCTAACACTGCCATTTGCAGCCATAGCAGCCTCAGTTTCGGTGTTCTCTTGTGCAGGTCTCTTGGTGATTGTCACGTAGAGGATCTCACCATCAAATTTCCCAGCTATCTTATCAGTATCTGAATCCTTTGGCACTGGAAAAATCAGCTCAAAATGAACACGTTTCTCTTCGTTCACTTGCCTTTCTCCTCTTACTATAATATAGCCAGAGCCCTCGACCTGCAGCTTCACCTCTTCCTTCTTGAATCCTGAAAAAAATAGTTTTCACTGGCTTGTTAATGACCTTACTTCAGGCATAGAGAGATTGAAGAAGCAAGCCAAGAAGAAAAATGACTAGTCGACATTGGAAAGAAAACAGACAGAGGCGTCCTCTTTCAATATGCCAATGCTTGTATGTTGCAGAAGCATGTATATTCTAGTCTTGTACTATGAAATAAAGGTGTTTGAATGTGGAATACCGGGAAGATCAACTAAAAGATAATGCCCGGTGGAGTCCTCTGTCCATCCAGAATTGGGCACTATCTGTTCCACGATAGGAGCACGTGAGCTTGTTCTGACTCCAGCCCTTCTTCCACCTCTAACAGTACTAGCCATTGATAAGGATGATCCAATAGCTGATATGATTCTCTAGACAGAAAGTATTGATTGGATGTTGAAGAAGTATCAAAATTCACGCAATGAAACTTTGTCCTTTGGTTTTAACACTTGATCGTGATCTATATAATTGCTGTTTCATGCTGTGATCTGCATATTTCGTTTGATGGCGGTGAAGAGTTGATTGATGGCTTGTTAACATTGTTATTCCAAACTTATGCGGAAAGAGCGTATAAGAACTTAAGGTGGTGACCAACGTATGTACGTAGTTTTGTAACATTGTCCAAAAGCGAACTATTCTTTCCTTGTTTTGCTCATTTCCACGCCACCTCTTTCTGCTATGGAGGTTGTCCAGCAGAAGAAGATATGTAGCCACCTCTCGAGTAAGCAACATTAATTTTATTAACATTAATTTTATTAACAAGAGCAACTTGGTTAAACTGATCGAGAGAGTCGAGTTAATTTATCCTCAAATCCTGAGTTTGACCTGAAATGCAATCATATTAAATTAAAATGCCAAATATAATCCTAAAATACCCATAAAGCTGCCTTTAGTAGTAATGGTCCCTTATAGGAAGAGTTCAAATTAGTTGGTCAGGTGGTGTTCCTAATACCCTATGTCCCCCTACCCTAGCGATGAAAGAGGCTATGTCACTATGGCCGCTTGAGTGAGATCTAAGGTTTAAGTTTGTGTGTTTGTATATGAAATAAATATCTTTGGGAGAGCTATCTTCAATAAATCTAACAACACTCAAATCTGATTTAATTAAATAATCATGTCAAAAAAATATTGATCCAACAGTTGGTTTGTGGTGCATCATTAAATTCTCTGACTGATATATGTAAGAAATATATATATATATATATATAATTTTTAATAATAAATTAGAATATGTATATTATTTTGGTATATAAAAAGAATTTGAACTTTCAACATTATTTATATCTTATTTTATATCTATTATTTCAGTTAGTTAAGGACGACCTATTATATAATTATTTTACATGTTTTATATATGTATCATAATTTTGTTATACACTTCAATGCCAAATATATAAAAATTATTTAACTATTTTTTTCCACAAAAAAATTATTTAACTATATTTACTTGTTTTCAGTGTCAACTTTTCATTGTCAAACTTACTATAATAGGGAAATCATCGGTTGCTATTTTTCGTTTTGTTCATTTATTTATTCACAGGTCTCTTCTTGAACATAATATTATTTAAAGTATTGTTGGGTACAAAAGTTCCATTTAGTTACTAAAACAAATTGATTAAAAAATTAATATAAAAATGAACTAAGTCACTCTTCCCCATCATTATAAATATTATAAAACTCATAAATATGTATTACAAATATGAAAATTATAATACCTTTCAAAAATCTCATGAATCATAATTTCTAACTTTATAAATTAAATTATCCCTCTCCCTTATAAATATTGTTCACCATCCCTTTTGATTATCTCATTTTTACCTTTATTTTTTTAATTCATTCCTTTTTAGTAACTAAACAATACCTAAATGTAAGCACCTCTTTCAATAAAAATTTGACTATTAATTCATTATATTGTAAGTGACTAATCCTTTTTATTAAGTGTGTGTTTGATTTTCAGTTTGCTAAAAATTTATTTGGTAAAGGTTCATTTGGTAAAAATTAATTTAATAAAAGTCAGTTGTTATAACGAAATTTATATTTGGATAAATTTTTTCAAATATCAGTTTGGTACATTAAAAGTTATTTAGATTATAATGACAAAATGTACTTTTGAATGTAAAATTATCAAAAAGGATATCGATTTGTGATGATATATAATTTTTATTATACGAATGTAATATATTTAAAATATTTTAAAAATATGATAAAGATTTTAGATAATATAAAATTTTCTCTATAATGCTAAAAACTTGATCTATAGTTATTTATACTTTTTAAATTTGTAATTTTAAAAAATATGATAAAAATTTATAATTTTTATTATATAATAATATTATAAATTAACATGATTAATTATTCAATTCATAATGCTGAAAACTTCATACTTAATTATTATTATTGAAATGAAAATTATGTTTTTAATGAATTAAATATTTTTTAAATAAAAAATAAGAGATTAAATTTAAGATAATATGGTCAAATAATATTTCACTTTTTAAATTTAATTTTTAAAAGTTTTAAATAATTATATTTCTTAAATTCATTTTCAGTCACTATTTAAATATTTTTTAAAAAAATTATTTTTACCTAAATAACTTTTAATATTTTAAAAGTGAAAGTGAAATCTTATTTTTTAAATGTAAAATTGAGAATGCCTAAACGAATCCTAAATCCACACTTGTTGATACATGCTGCCATGCGAGTAGGTGATGTCCTTATCTCAAGGCTTTCAGATGATGTCAACGCAATCCAGGCCAGCTGGCCCAAACCAGCAAAAAGGTCCCGGGATTTAAATTTTGGCCTGACCCGGGATTAAACTTTTGCAATTTTTTACCAAAAAAAAAAACTTTTGCAATTGGAAATAAAAAATAGCACCAAAATCTTACCATTTTGTTTACAGTGTAATTCCATTGATGCCCTTCTCAGTTCTTGGCTCCCACAGACGCCTGGTGTGAATTTTTTTAGAATTTGATTGTTTTTAATTTCTGTTAATCATTGCTTTACTGTTTAATGGTAAAAGTGCTTTTTTCACCTTTGTTGCCCTTTGCACAGTGTTTTATTCATTCATTTGTTATTGTAATATTAATTCCTTTACTAACAAAAAAAATATTTGTATCTAAAACAATATTTATATTCACATTTATCATTGACAACTATCTTAGTACTAAAAATTATTATAATACCCATTAGTTTATTCAACAAAATATTATATATTCATGCAAATTTGATTTAAAACGATGGCAAAAATCATTACAATTTCCTTGATGAGGTAATGTAAAAATCCATAATTTAACATCCATATAAAAAATGATCAGAGAATAAAAACAGAACTTCCAAAATTTGAATGTAGTTTCTAAGCAAGAGTATGACTTGCAAAGTTTTATTTATTAGGTCAGACATTCTCATAAAAATATATACCCACATAATATCAAAACAAAAATTAAAAAAATGAATTTAAAATTGTATGTTAAAAAAAATTCCTATCATACTGTTCTGTAGTAGTTGGTTTTTTTTTTTGTTATTAAAAAATTATTACTCCTTTCATTCAAAATATAAGATATTTTTAACCAAATACCACTCCCAATAAAGTAGTTACCTACTTTTTAACTAACCATATCTTTTTATATTTATTTTTATTAAATACTTTATAATAAATATAAAGTTATTATTAATAGGGGCATTTAAAAAAATAATTACACTTTAAAAAATTAAAATTATTTTATATTTTTAAATATCTAACTTTTTAAAAAATATTTTATATTTTTAAATAAAAAAGGTAAAATTTAAAGGAGGCCCAAAAGTTTGCAAGAAGTTTTGGCTTAACGTGTTTGTGTGGGTTAAGACTTTAATTTTGACTATAACAATAACATCAACATATAATATTTAAGACCCACTCAAAAAAGTTATCACAATAAAAGTTCATTATATTTGCATTAAATATTATCTTATAAAACACACACATATATATTGTTTAAAATTGAATCTTAACTTATTAAATTTTTAAAAAAACCTTAATAAAAAATATAAATTATATTTTAGCTTTACGTATTTTTATAAAATAATATCTTATATCAAATTGATAAACTTTTATGGTAATATTTTTTTTTTGAAATGATCTTGAATATTATTCTCCCAAGGTAGCTCGGTAGTGTATTCTGGCGGTCTATATTTGTACAAGTGGCTTCAAGTTGACTAAAATATCCTTAATAAAGTTTTCAATAGAGCCATGGTTGTTCCCCTCACGAGTTATTCTCATTGGAGACTACGTACAGTTCACATCATACGGATAAATTATTGAGCTTTTATTCGTACGAGGCCATCCCGTTAAATTTCAAGTTTGACTATTTATTAAATATATAAATATTATAATTGAAATAATTATCTAACTCCTTCAATTTGAAATGTTGACATCGCTAATGTTGGTGGCTACATTTTTTAAGATATAAAAAAAACAGTATAATGTAAAAGAATGAATGTAAATAATTTTTCAATAAAAATTAATTTAAAATAAAAACAAAATTTTAACGAAATATAAAAATAGAATAAATGTCAGTTGAGTTATGTTAATTCAAAAATAATTTTAAAATTTAAAAATAAATTAATATTGATGATTGCATGTAATTAATGGTGGTGATTAATAATGAAAATCAGTCAAGCTAACTTATATTTTTTTAATAATCAAATGTAGTATATTTTAAAAATAAAAAAATAAAATAACAATAATTTTAAAATATTTTCATTTTTTGTTTTTAAAAATAAAAAATAAAAATTTTATCTAAAATATTTATCCAAATGAGTTTTTTTAAATTTTTTTGTTTTGCAAATAGAAAACAGTTTTTAAAAATGGAAATGGAAACCAACCAAGCCTTAGAACTCTCCTTTTCCATGGCCATGTATACTTCAAGGCCATTAAGGCCATGGCCGAGGATTGAAAGTGAAATGTTATTATTATTTGATTACAAAATTTAAATATTTGATTTTGCAGCTCAAAAAATTACAAAAGTAATAAAAAAATAGATAAATAACAATAAATTATGCTTTTTAAATAATTTTATCTTTGGCTTTAAAAAATTTCACACCGCCCTATCTTTCTCCTAACATATTTTATACATTCATGAAGTTTCACCTTAAGATATTACATTATTGGAAAAAAGGCTCCAAACATTATGGTTGGCGCTTGAGCTGTTTTATGGAATTACTTATATTTTTCCTCGCACAGTTTAAATTTTGAATTTCAACTTCAAACTCTGGTAAGAAAAACTTAAAAAGAAGGTTCAACTTTAAATTTGAGAATTTCAACTCAGACTCTGATAAGAAAATAAAACAGATATTCAACTCATATCCTTCAATTCATAAAACATATATCAATACATAAACTATTATTCAACATCGATATAGTTAATTAAAACTGAGATTAACCCCAGGGGGGGAGGGAGTGAATATAAGA